CACCAAGGATCGGCTCTTAGCCCTTTTTTATTTGCCTTGGCGATGGATGTACTGTCGCGACACATCCAATGGGAGGTGCCTTGGTGCATGCTATTTGCCGATGATATAGTGTTGATTGACGAGACGCGAAGTGGAGTTAACGTGAGGTTGGAGGTTTGGAGACAAGCCTTGGAGTCTAAAGGTTTCAAACTGAGTAGAACCAAGACAGAATACTTGAAGTGCAAATTCAGTGACGGGACCCATGATGCAGACGTAGAGGTTAAGCTTGATGCTCAAGTTATCCCCAAGAGAGCGAGTTTTAAGTATCTCGGGTCTATTATCCAGGGTAACGGGAGAGATTGACGAAGATGTCGCACATCGCATCGGAGCGGGATGGATGAAGTGGAGGCTCGCTTCCAGTGTTTTATGTGATAAGAATGTGCCGCCAAAACTTAAGGTAAGTTTTATCGAGTGGTGGTTTGACCGGCTCTATTGTATGGGGCTGAGTGTTGGCCAGTCAAGAACTCCCACGTGCAGAAGATAAAAGTAGTAGAGATGAGGATGTTGAGATGGATGTGTGGGTGTACCAGGAGAGATAGGATTAAGAATGAAGCTATCCGAGACAGAGTGGGAGTAGCCTCCGTGGAGGACAAGATGCGGGAGTCGAGGCTGAGATGGTTCGGACATGTTAAGAGAAGAAGCATTGATGCTCCTGTTAGGAAGTGTGAGAGGTTGGCCATTAAGAGTTTGAGAAGAGGCCGAGGTAGGCCTAAGAAGTACTGGAAAGAGAAGATTAGACAGGACATGGTGCTGCTTCAGCTCACTAAGGACATGACCCTTGATAGAAGGGTGTGGAGGTCGAGGATTAAGGTAGAAGACTAGTGGGTAGTTTTTAGTAGTTCATCGATAGTTTTAGTAGCATACATGTCCATTCATATTCTTAGATTTTTATTACGTTATGTGATTTTGTTCGCCTCAGATATTGTATTCCCTATTGCTATTATTTGGTACCACTTATCTTTTATCTCTCCCTTTTTCTTTTCTCTTCCTTCTTTCTTCCTTCCTTGCTTTCATCTTCTTCTTCTTGCCCTTCCTGAGCCGAGGGTCTATTGGAAACAGCCTCTCTACCTGCATTAGGTAGGGGTAAGGTCTGCGTACAGACTACCCTCCCCAGACCCCACCTGTTGGGATCATACTAGGTGTTTTTTTTTTGTTATTTGAAGTTGTTACCACTTTTATCATTATGTGATCTCTTTTATTGTTACGTTACTCTTAGTTGAAATTGTTGTACACGATATCCTTTTGTTGCCGGGTCATTCGCATGCATTTAGACGTAATACTAGTTCGTGCCATCTCTCTTTCATTGTTAGCCTAATTCATACACTAGAACCCAGAATTGCCATTTCATGGAGATACTTTCACTATTGAGTTTATCCTTAAACAATTAAATGGAATTGAGGTTATCGAAAGTCTTAAATCTATTTTAAATTGAAGTTGTGTTTAAAGGGGGTGTTGTTCTTTGTGAGTTACTTTTTCGCTCATTTTGTTGTTATTGAGATTTTATACACATTATGTTTGAGCCGTGGGATATTTGTGGTGAAAATATTGATATTGTTGGATCGTTGGAAAGGTTGTGGCATATGGGCACTTGTGTTATGAGTTGATACATCGTGTTGTTGTGATGTTAGCATTTGTGAATTGTTGTGTGATTTGGTTGTTGTTATGCGGAGTATAAGGGTGGCATTTTATCGTTGTTGTTATGCGGAGCATAAGGGTGGCAACTCACTGTTGTTGAATGTACGGAGTGATGAGGGTGGCTATTGTGTTATTGTCAGGGCGGAGTGACACCGGTGGCTATTATACGAAGTGATACGGGTGGCTATCGAAGAGATAAGGGTAGCTAACGATATTGTCAAGGCGGAGTGATACGGATGCCAATCGGAGAGATAAGGGTGGCAATATCAGGGATGATGTGTGATGGCTTGGGGACATTGTGTTGGTGATTTTCGTGTGATGGTGTATTTTTCCTTGTGTCTGTCATACACCTTACGAGACTTGTTTTGTTGCTTCGATGAGATACTCGATGTCCTTGATATTACTTGTTGGTTGGGGCTGCAGTAGTACATTCGCACAAGCATACACCGTAGTATACCACTTATACTAGCTGAGAAGTATGAAACTTGACATTTATTGATCATGCCCATGTGTTTTTGTATTATCCGTCTTTATGTTATTATTGAGCATGTGACCATACTAGGCGGATTGTGATTGTGAGCATGTGACCATGCCGGACGGATTGTGATTGTGAGCCTGTGACCATGACGGGTGGATTGTGATTGTGAGCTTGTGACCATGCCGGGCAGATTGTGATTATGAGCATGTGACCACGCCGGGCGGATTGTGATTGTGAGCCTGTGATCATGCCAGGCGGATTGAGATATTGGCACGAGAGTTGTCCGTGCGTTTGTGATTCGAGATGCGGCACGAGGTGCCGCGAGTATATGATGGCGGGTTGAAACCCGTGACTTGTGACTATGAAATGAGGTATCACGAAGTGATTTCATTGTGAATCTTGTGTTAGAACGACTTGATTAATTATTTGTCCTTTGTGTTCCCTATTTGGTTTCAATGGTAATTTTACGGTGTTCTCATTGCTTTACTATTTATATCACATGTTGATTTTGTTGCCATTTACCGATTTTTGCTTTCCAGTATTAGCTTTATATTTCTATACTACAGAGATTACTTTGTCTAGTGAGTGTCTTGATTGTACCTCGTCACTAGTCCACCAAGGTTAGTCTTGATACTTATGTGGTACCGACCGTGGTGTACTCATACTACACTTTTGCACATTTTTGTGCAGGGCCAAGTGTTGGAGATATTGGACTCGGGCGGAGTCAGCTTATTGATCGCGATGATTCAAGGTAGAGTTGTTTGGTCGTCGCAGTCCATTGGAGTAATTTCCTTATATTGTACTGTCGGTTGTTATTTGAACAGTATTTTATTTCCATCCTTGAGATCATTCCATATATTCATCTAGAGTTCTTGAATCTGTATTACCAAATCTTGGGAGGTTGTTATGATCATTGTCGCGTAGGCTTGTTCCTCTTTTATTTCGGTATTTATTTTAAGATATATTTTAAATTATCATTGTTAAAACTGGCTTAATCGTTGTTAGTAATCGGCTTACCTTGTCTTAGAGACTATGTGTTATCACGACGCATGTGGTGGGTTTTTGGGTCGTGACAACTATGGACATCTAAATTCCAAAACTAATGTCAATTCACACCAAAACAACTTCGATCGACCTCAAATTTTGCACACAAGTCATAAATGACATAACGGACCTATTCCAACTTTCGGAATCAGAATCCGACCCCGATATCAACTAAAGTCAACTCCGGTCAAACTTCTCAACCTTCCAAACCTTTAATTTTCTAACTTTCGCCAATTCAAGTCGAACGATCTACGGACATCCAAATCAACATCCAGATACGCTCCTAAGTCCAAAATCACCATACGGAGCTATTGGAACCGTCAAAACTCCATTTCAGAGTCGTCTACACAAAAGTCAAACTACGATCAACTCTTTCAACTTAAGCCTCCAACTTAGGGACTATGTGCCCCATTTCACTCTAAAACTGCACCCTAAACCAAAATCAAATACCTCGGCAAGTCACATAACCATAATACAATATAGAGGAGACAATAAATAGGGGATCAGGGCTAAATACTCAAAACAACCGGCCGAATCGTTACAATAATTAAATAATCTTTCCATAATTGGTACTCGGCAATTAAAACTCAATCCTAATTAAGGTATATAATATTTCATGCAAAAGTTTTGCAGCACAACTCATGGAGCTTTCATGTGCACATACCATTTAAGAGAGCTATTTGTGTACATTATACATCGTAGAAGCTCTCAATTTTTTGTACCAAGTCTATATCTCCGCAAATGAGTTTATGTATATAAGAGGTTAATACAGGAAGAGATCATCGGTTGCCAGTTAAGGTATGTGGGAAACAACGCAGGATTTATAATATAGTGTTACTAATAGTGCGTTCTTGTGTTCGTTTACGCTACTACATGCAGATTCCAATAGTTAGATTCTAATCGAGCTAAGCATGGCCATTTGAAATATCTATTATAACTTTAGAAAACTTTGGAGGGTGATTAGGAAAAACAGAAACTGTAGGAAAATCTCATCAAGAGAATAAGTGACCAGAGGAGAAATTTCTTACATGCACCTTCTAGTCGCTTCTTAGCGATCTTGCATGATTGCTTTTAAGAGCATTTCTAAAATCATACGCTAAGTTAAATAGTGTAATAAATGCCTAAATGCAAAGCTTTAAGTTCATAGAAACAACCGATTTCATTCAAGATTACGATTATAGAAGATTTTAGTTGGTTCTAAGGGTAGGCAGTCTTGTTCATTAAGTAAGATATAGACAACATCAAATCCAAATAACGCTCCGAATACAAGTTAAGATCTTAGCACGGTCTTAAATATCTGTAGAACATGTAAGTTCAACATCAAATCTAAATAACGCTGGCTATGTCGTGTTTCCTGAACTCACAAAAAAATGAATCACACAAACACATTGGATGCATAAATTTTTAAAAAAGGAAATAGAACGAAAGCAAAGCAATTGAAAAAAAAAATCTGAAAAAAATAAAAGAAAGAAGAGGTATAAAGTACCAGTGTTTTTAACACATGTAACTCGATTGAATTCTATAGTAAATTGTATGATTAACATGGATTAGACATAAAGGATCAAGCAGGGTATCTTACGTAAACTGTTGTACATTATTAAGAGAAGCAAAACCAAGCTGTCACATCCAACAATAAGACTCACACTAATAGGAAGCTTTGAGAAACAATTTAGAGGCATCATGAGGTAGGTAACTATAAATTAGTGGATTAAGATATCGTCGCCTTGAAATCAACTAAATTTTATCTTTGAAACAATATACAAATTCAAGAGAGTGATTAACAAAGAACTCAAAGCATAATTACCTTATTAGATCATGTGAGATGGCCGTCTGCTGAATAAGTATATTATCCAATCACAAGTTTCAGTATGAAGGTATTGATGGATCCTCCATAACCATTCATCTACAAAGAATTAAACACTGATTTTATTAATTGAGAGGTTGTAATAATCTGATGAAATAGCAAGGTTAGTGGCACATTTGCTCGCGCTCGTGCTAGGAGAGCCTCTTTTTTATCAGCTTGCATCATTCTATATAATTCGTGGCGCCTAGCCTTCTTGTCAGCATGTATTTTTTCGAAGTTTTCATTTTTATGATTTTGACCTTTCGGTCGTCTACTCCCTGAATGTGAAAGTCAAGTGCATATTGACATTACTGAATGTATGTTCAACATTGGCTGATATGCATGCATGTTTATACTAAGTAAAGAACCGATGCAAAAACTTACAATACCTATACATAAATGGTTAGAGGTCAAAAAATTTACCTTCCGGCGCTATTGAATAACACAATACACGACAATCAAAATGGATCGCAAGAACTGCAATAACAAAGAAAAAAAATCGGGAGGAAATAGTATTAGTAGTAGATAACTCCAACCAAAACAGAGGAGAAAGATGAAAAATTAGAACAACCTAAGAGTTAGAAGCAGTCATGCATGTGATGATTAAACAACAGTCAGTTTGATCATATTGTCCCTACCAGTTAGGGAAAGATAGCGCCGCCCAAATAATTTCAGAAATAAAAACCTTAAATTAAGACCTATACAATTTAGCGTATATACCAGCCAGAAAATTGCAAAGTCAAGAAGTATCTGATTGAAAAGTCAAGAAGTATGTGAAGAATTGAGAAAACCCTAATCCAAAATTCAGCACGTTACAAGATCAAACATAATTTTTATCGCTCGATTTAGCACACACCAACCATCGAGCTGTAAAATTAAAATTTATGAACAGAACCTAAAAGANAAGGAACCTACAACAGCCACTGAACTTCAGAATTTACCCACATCAGTATCATCAGCGGATTGAGATCAAGAATTGATCTCGACCCAAAATTTTGCATGTGGGCTGAAATTAATTGAAAGAGTAAATTCCAGAACTGAGCCATTTGGATCAAGGATTCAGTCCAGATAATGCACTGAATCAAGTACATGAATACTATTTAAGAAGAATTCCCCAACCCACTTCTGAATTCCTTGAAAGAACTTAGCCATTTGGTTAGAAGGAACGAAAACAAATAACCAAAAAATGGGCAAAATAGCTCTTTTGAAGTCGACGTTGGAATGGGACGGCAGAAACTGGGAATTTTGTTCTATTGGCAAATAATGATGGATTTTGCCTCTGTAGAATGGATCAAATTTGAAATCAAAAGAAAGTATGAATTCTGCCGAATTTGGAGTACAATAAAGTGCAGGAGTGCACTGTTTAGCTTTGGTAACTGATAATTTATCAGATGCAAAGCAAAACACAGGTGCAAAATTAATTAAAAACATACCCGTAGATAGAAGCAATTTGAGGAAGATGAAGAGATCTCTGAGAAGCAATGTAAAATCCGAAAGTTTATTATGCAAACAAAATGGAGGAAACCTAGTGGGCGTTTGGACATAAAGAATTATAAATAAAATAAAAAAAGTGAAAAAAAAAATTCAAGTAAAAATAGTGTAACTAAACTTTTCAGAGTGACATAGACAAATGACAATTGCATAAGAGCATCGATAAAAAAAAAGGACCCACAAATTGCATGGATATATATATATATATATATATATGGACAGCTGATGTGGCATCCTTGTATAGCCGGCTTTCATATTTATCTTTTTTTCTTTTATTTCACTCTTTCACTTTATTTATTTCAAATAGTATTTTATTATCTCACAATCCAGAATAATAAATACTACATATTGGCCCAAAATATTAAGTCCAATAGTCGTTTAATTTTTTGAGAAATTTTCATAAATGACTATTGTTTAGTGACTATTAACTTCTTATATCTACCATATACATAATTACTTTCCGTAGCTACCTTTTAGTTATTATGGTAATGTATTCGGTGTATTCGAGCTACTGTATTCATGAATACGGTAGCAAAAATCGTCTAAAAATAGGGCAGTCCAGCTGCCAGCCGTTGTATTCACATATATTCGTACCATGTATTCATGAATACAACGTAATAATAGGTCTCTTCATTTGTTTAATAACGGAAAGCTGCTAATTTAACGGGATACACTCCTAATATAACTCACCTAAATCAATTATTACACAACATTATCAATCCAATTAATGAAAAGCTTTATCAAACGCTAAACACAAAAAATAGAGCATTTTTCAGAGTTTCAATCCCTCTCTTTTTTCTGATACAGTTCGAGTTTTTTTTTTCTGACATTGTTCGAGGTTCTCCTCGGAATTGATACAAGTATCTACAGAAATACTTTAAAAATTGATTTTTTGTATATGAATACATCATGTATTTATGCCGGATACAACCTGTAATAGTAACTTACTGCCTGCATTTTTCATAATAAACCTAGTGCTTGTATTATGTTGTATCTAACAGTTGTGTTTAATGTATTCAAGTTTATTTTTTTATTCACAATATTTTATTTATTCCTAATATATGGTATTGCTGCTTTATTGAGTATATTTCATTGGTTGTATTCATTGATTTTCTATTTATATTGAGAGTATTTTACTGTATTTCATTGTATTGTTGTTTTAAATACAGATGGATACAGTTAGGTTGAAAATACATATGAATACCGCTAGATTGAATGCATAACTAATTGGTGAATAACATCAAAATGATAGAACTAATAATGTATTTAAAAATGTTGTTGTATGAACTCAAATATATATAAATACATCTAAATAAAACGGTCAAAAATCACTGTACAAAGTAAAAATCAATGTATGCCTTATCGAATACATATAAATACATCTAAATACAAGAAGAGAAACCCACTGTACAAACTAAAAATCAATATATGCGGACCCGAATATATATAAATACATCTACAATTATGCCTTATCGAATACATATAAATACATCTAAATACAAGAAGAGAAATCTACTGTACAAACTAAAAATCAATGTATGCGGACCCGAATACATATAAATACATCTACAATTAGGGTCAGTACATATTTTTGTTCTCCTTTCGGCTTCAATGGTTGCTGATGAACCTGCAAATGCAATTCCATTGCTATATGTGAATGGTTTAACCCATTTTTCCGAACCTAATCCTAATCTCATTAGCCGCTGCCACCCTCTCCTCTGTCCTTTCCTCTTCCATGTTAACATTCAAAATCAATTCAGCTATGAACAAACCATGTCCGCTCTACTTTGAAAAAAGATACAACTCATATCAGAAACTTTGATCAAGACATTTTGAAACTCATGTTAACAGATATGAAATCCAGCAAATCGAGATCTAAGGTTTGAGAACAATCTAGAAATAGAACCTGCAAAAAAAGGTATGATGACCCAAAGGGTCATCTTGTGAATTAAGACTCTATTCCGGGCTTGTTAGCCTTAAAAACCTTATTTTTACTCACTTTGATTTGCGTGCATAGTCCAGACGTAAATCCGGAAAGCCTTTATGTGAAAATTTATGAAGTAATAATTTTTGGGATTTAAATTCGATTTTTAGTTGACTTTGGTCAATATTTTGAGTAAACGGACGCGGATCCATGTTCTGACATTCCCGGAAGGTCCGTAGTAAAATATGGGACTTGGGAGTATGTCCGAAATCGAATTCCGAGGTCCCTAGCTCGAGAAATAATTTTTTGATGAAAATTGTAAGACTGAAATTCTATGGATTTAAAGAAATTGATTAATGTCTGATCTCGTTGGAATCGGGCCTATATTTTTATTTAGGAGCTCGGTACATGTTTAATATAATATATAAGTAATGTCTGTGAAATTTGGTAGAAATCGGAGTTGATTTGACGTGATTCGGACGTCCGGTTGAGAAAATAGTAGTTTTGAAAGGTTCTTGAGGAATTCATGAGTTTTGATGCTAAATCCATAGTTTTAAGTGTTATTTTTGTAATTTGATCGCACGAGCAAGTTCGTATGATGTTTTTAGACTTGCATGCATGTTTGGTTTGGAGACCTGAGGGCTCGGGTGAGTTTCGGATAGGCCACGGGATGTTTTGAACATAGAAAAATGTTGTTGGTATAACTGAACCTGTTGCAGGTCTCTGATCTCGCAATTGTGAGATCAGGCATCGCAAATGCGAACCAAGCAGGTATGGCAATTACGAGATTTTTATCGCAATTGCGAAGAAAGCCTAGGCCAGCAGTTCTCGCAATTGCGAGTATATCTTCGCAATTGCGAAGGGCGAATTGTCGCAAATGCGACATAATCTTCGCATTTGCGAAGGCAGCGGAAATGTGAAGGTTCTCTCATTTGCGATGAACCCTTCGCATTTGCTAGCTTCGCAATTGCGAAGCTCAGGTCGCAAATGCGACATCCGCAACTGATAACTTTGGACTTAGACGAGATTTTTCATTCATTCTTCAATTTTTCGAACCCTAAACCTCAAGAGGTAATTTTTGGGCGATTTCACAAAAATATATTGGGGTAAGTATTCCTTATCCTATATTGATTATATTTCATGATTTTATACTCATTTATATCATGAATCCGTGAATTTATGGGGGGGAAAATCAGATTTTTATAAATTCTTCCAAAAATAAAAATTTAAAATTTGAAGGTCCATTTGATATCGAAATTGGATATTTTTTATATGGTTGGACTCGTCCCGGAATGGGTGTTCGGATTTCGTAAGTTTTTTCAAAATTTGAGACGTGGGTCCCACTGCCGAATATTTTAATGAATTTTGAATTTTATCCGGAAAATTAGTAAATTCCTATGATTCGTATTGAGTATATCGAATTGTTTGTGAATAGATTTGAAGCTTTTGGAGACAAATTTAAAAGAAAAAGTTGTGGTCGAGTAATTGATTGGAATTTGCAAAGCGAGGTAAGTGTCGTGGTTAACCTTAACTTGAGGGAATAGAACCCTTAAATTATTTGTTATGTGAAATGCATGTGAACGACGTATAGGCGTGGTGACGAGTGCCTATACGTCGTCAAATTAATTGTTTGCATAATTACTTGAAAAATTATAAATTATTTTAAATCATGAATTAATTATTATAATAATTATTTCTCTCATATTCTTTGCCAAATATTAATTCTTAAATTCCTGCATTAATTGTTATATGCTACTTGAATTATGTGTATTAATTGTTATTTGACATTTAGCATATTAAAGATTAAAGTGCCTATTTTCTCCCTGATTTCTATAATAATTTGCTATTTGACATTGTTTGTTTCATGATTAAATCATAATTATTGTATGCTTGTTGTCTTATAATTTCATATTAATTGTTACATTTATTGGGGAAATTCCTTTATAAGAATTGGTAAATGAATATGTTGGAGGAGCGGGTTGCACGCCGCAATAGAATTGATTATAATGAACATATCGGAGAATTGGGTTGCACGCCGCAACAGACTTATTAAAAGTCCATATTGGAGGATCGGGTTGTACGCCACAACAGACTTATTGGAGGATCGGGTTACACGCCACAACAGACTTATTAAAAGTCTATATTGGAGGATCGGGTTGCACGCCGCAA